AGTGACTTCAGTTGCTTCTTCTTCTTCGTCAACGACGTTGACTTCAGCGTGCTCCTCGTCAGAATCACAAAAAACTTGAGAAGAATCAAGTTTCTAAGACAGTTGTTGTTGTTGTTGTAACTTAACATATAACATGATATCTGAGAAACCAGAATACTCGTGACTGTGGAACATGTTACGCACATCTTCATCGTCTCGCACCTTTAACGGGAAAAATTTTCATTCAACATGGCCGTCAAAAAACACTGGGCTTTTGTATATAATTTGCCCAACTGGACCACATTGTAGTTTTTTTCTATTCTTGACTTCAGGTGTAAAAAATTAGACGTTCTGTCAATTAAAAATCTTGTTACATCAGTGTTTCTAAAATTGTAACCCGATATTTCACTTTCAAAAACTTCACCGTTAAGATGTGCAGAAATCATATATTGTGGTGTTTGAGACATTGCGAAAACTGTATTAAAGAGATTAGTGGTTGAGTGTTTGAGAGTTTGAGTTTAAAGAGTTGAAAGACTTTATTAAAGAGTTGAAATACTTTATTAAAAAATCACACAACGGTTACTAAAAAATCAACCTACAAAATCAACGACAAAAACATGTGAAACATACTTTGATGAGACGGGACAATGCATGACTCTGCATTTCACATGCGCCCCTGCATGCAGCGTGCTTGATGAGACGGGACAAGGCAGGAATTTGCTTTTCACATGTGACCCTGCATGCAACATGCTTGATGAGACGGGACAGGGCAAGAATCTGCTTTTCACATGTGACCCTGCATAAAAAAGAATATGTTTTTCACATAGTTGGTTAAATAGATACGTATTACACTAAACAATAATGATAATAAAAATAAATCTACATACTGTAGAAGTTATCATCCATAAAAAAAATCATATGTTTTTAATTTAGAAAAAATATAATAAGAAAAAATCACACAACGGTTACTAAAAAATCAACCTACAAAATCAACGACAAAAACATGTGAAACATACTTTGATGAGACGGGACAATGCAGGACTCTGCATTTCACATATGTCCCTGCATGCAGCATGCTTGATGAGACAGGACAGGGCAGGAATCTACTTTTCACATGTGACCCTGCATGCAACATGCTTGATGAGATGGGACAGTACAAGAATCTGCTTTTCACATGTGACCCTGCATAAAAAAGAATCTGTTTTTCACATAGTTGGTTAAATAGATACGTATTACACTAAACAATAATAATAATAAAAAAAAAATCTACATATTGTATAAGTTATCATCCATCAAAAAAACCATATGTTTTTAATTTAGAAAAAAAAAACATAATTAGAAAAAATCACACAACGGTTACTAAAAAATCAACCTACAAAATCAACGACAAAAATATGTGAAACATACTTTGATGAGATGGGACAATGCAGGACTCTGCATTTCACATGTGCCCCTGCATGCAGCATGCTTGATGAGACGGGACAAGGTAGGAATCTGCTTTTCACATGTGACCCTGCATGCAGCATGATTGATGAGACGGGACAATGCCATTGCATCAGTACACTTGTCCCGCATGCGTGTAGAACACACATGCATCAGTACACTTGTCTCGAATGTGTTTACAACACACATGCAGCAGTACACTTGTCCCGGATGCGTTTACAACACACATGCATCAGGACACTTGTCTCTCATGCGTTTACAACACACATGCATTAGGACACTTGTCCACATGCATGTACAACACACATCCACTTGTGGAATATAAATATAGGGTATTTACCCAGCAAACTCTGCTCACAATTAAACTTTCAAACTCTCTAACTCTCAAACTCCCAAACTCTCAAACGCAAAAACTCTCAACATCTCAACATCTCAAACGACAATGTCTTTACTCACCATGGGCGACTCTCACAGAAGCACGACTGAAAACATCGCCGAGTTTGTAAGTTTTTAGTTCTTATCTATGTTTACAATCTTGAAACATTAGTTATTTTAGTTCTTGTCAAACGAAACATTAATTATCTGTTGCAGGATACATCAAGGTTTCGATGTCGTGCACATGATTACATACCACACGACCCCCTCATTACGGGGTACCTTAATCATTGTGGGTTTGGTGATGTGATCAAAATCAAGTCATATTCTCTCAATATGAAGTTTATTCTAGCGCTGTTAGAACGTTGGAGACCAGAGACACATACATTTCACCTACCTTTTGGTGAGTGTACGGTGACTCTCCAAGACATATACATGTTGCTCGACCTACACATCGATGGTAAGGCCGTCAACGACAAAGTTGGTGTCCCTGACCGACTTTGCAAAGATTTATTGGGCGCCCCTCTTTGTGTGGACGCACCTCGGGCGAAAAGCGAGGGCCGCCCTAAGGGTTAGGGAATTAATTTAAAATACCTCAGAGAACAATACAACAATATTGTCCTAACTGATGATAGCACCGAATATGACATAATAGTCAAAACAAGGTGCTATATTATGATTTTGTTTGGTCACTTTTTATTTCCAGAGGGAACTGGAAATAACGTCCATATTATGTATTTACCATTATTACAAAATATAAACAAAGTGTGCGAATATAGTTGGGGATCAACTGTCCTCGCCCATCTCTATAGCGTACTTTGCAAAACTTCCAAAAAAAATTAATGTACTTTTTATGGTTATGCTTATCTCTTACAGGCGTGGGGTTGGTCTAGGATGCCAACGCTTGCTCCAATAAACCGGAATTCTTTTACATTTCCGTACGCCAACAAGTAAGTTTCTTTTCAAGATTATTTTGCAACTACATTTTCTTTGTAAGTTAATAATTTGTGAGATGTGTTTTAGATGCTAACTTATATGTGTTTATTTTTTTAGGTGGTCTGTTCCAGGGATGAATTATCAGAGATGTCCCAGGCACTCTATAATTCAATACCGCAACCTCATCGACCACCTTGGGCCAGATGATGTAAGTCATTTACCTTTAATTTATCTAACTTATACCACAACCTTGTCTATCTCTGTCTGACTAAATGTATCCACCTTTATTGTAGTTTTTCTAGATGTCGTGCGGGGGTCTCGACCACCAGCCCGACCCCAATGATGTTGTTATGTGAACATCAAGAACACCCATAATTAGGTTCACTACGGTGGAGATGCATCAAAGTGACCGGGTGAAGCTACAATTTGAGATGCATCAGGATATTCCATATGCTCTGGTAGAGTTGGGGAAGTGGCATCAAAAACGGGTGGACTCGCAGTGGAGTGTCAGTGATTGGAAGGAGTTTGTGAAGGAGTTGTGTAAACACTGGAAGAGAAGAAGGCAGCACGTCTTAACCGACCGTATTGTGTACGGGGCTAGGCCAAGTCTTCAATATATGACTTGGTTTAGGTCTGTCACGACATCTCAGTCGTTTCTGTCCCAGCCAACATATTTGGTCGACCCAAGGCAACGCGCTTCTTCGTCCAACACACAACAACAATCCAGTGCCCAAAATCAGCCTTACCATAACCCATACATGCTCCCAAATGCCCCCCATCAACCACCATACCATGAACCATACATGCAACCCACCCAGTCCCAGCCTCAACCACCATACCATTATAGCCCTGATACGTCTTTTGAGCCTACCCCCTCCGCCTATAGCCCAAACAACTCATTTGAGCCTACCCGTTCAAACTACCCCTCCAACTATCCACTATTTGACTACCACACCCCAAAAACAACCAACACACCATTTCCAACCCAATTCGATGTACGAATTCGGACAACCATATCGTCCATACTCCACCTAACCTCCCCGACAATCCTTCGAAAACATGGGCATTGAGCTAAACTACGGAAGTGTCGTTGATAGTGGACCTCCCGGCTATTGGGGTCAAATGCTGCAAAATCCATCTGATACGTCGGGACCGTCCCAACAAAACCCTCCTCAACAACTCAACACACAACGACCAGACACACCACAACGACCTCGTCGTAGACCTCATCGCAACGCACATCCCCCGCAGTGTGGCACCGGTGGTCGTTTGGATAGAGTCGGCCATTAATTTTTTTTTTCAGTTGTAATTTTTATTATATTATAAATTAATATATTTTAATTTTATTTACATATCTATTTATTAAATATTTAGTAACAAATATTTATGAATAGGTAATTAAAATATTTATTAAATTTAATAATAAACTTGATATATTTAATAGGTAATAAAAATATTTATAAATTTCATAATAAACTTAATATATTTAATACATATTTAAAATATTTATAAACTTAATAATAAACATAATATATTTAATAAGTTATTAAAATATTTATAAATTTAATATTAAATTTAATGAATTTAATAAGTAATTAAAATATTTATTAATAGGTAAAATATTTATTAATATTTATTTAAATGACAAAGGCGTAAACTCTAAACAACCAACTGTTTCGCCATATGCATTGGCGATTTTACGTACACTTGTCTCTGTCGCCATATGATTCGACAAACAACAATGTCGCCATATACTTTGGTAGCTGGTTTGAGAAATTATTGGGTACTTGCTTTTATTTAGTAATTTTTAAGTAATAGTTTGTTAGTTTAAAAAAAATTCAATTTTTTCTGTTACGTTTCTCTACCATTCAAAAATTTTAAATATACTAATTTTTATTCCTATTCATTTTAATAATTCTACAATTATTTATTTTTTAAAGTATTATTATTATTTTTAATATTTTTTTTTTTTCAACAATAATTTTATTTCTTGATCCGTGCGAAAGCACGATTATCTCATTAATTATTTTAATAAATTTTTTTGAAAAAGAAGCGGAGAAAAACAGGATCCAAAAGACCGAGTCACAAGTTATTCTTATCAAGACTTGGATGATGATGCCGAATATATACCCTTAATCCACTTCACACAAGTTCCGAAAATCAAGGATAAATATGAAACCCTTCAAAAAAGGAAAGCAACCATAAATTTGAAACCCTTTTTACCTCCTTCTTATTCCATTCATTCACATCCCTTACGGTACGCAAAGATGAAATTCTGCAAAACTTATCAGGAATACATGCGAGGTCAGGAGCAGCTCCCTGTAGTTGGATTCAAGAAGTTCAAAAAGATCATGAAAACATGTCGACGATCTTCTCCATACCATAGTTCCTGCTCTGATCAATGCACAGGTAGGTCACCAATTATCTTTCAGTTTTACAATTCAATTGTTGTTTTAATCTTTCGTTCGATTTTTTCTGTTAAGTTTTACGGTAGGTTATGTTTTCTGTGAATTGATTCCTAATTTTCTTCAGCAATGAATTAATTTGTATGTGATTGATTGGGATCAAGGTTTTTAAAAACGGTACTGGTTGCCACGTTGTCCCGCTGTGAATTGATCACAATTCTTTCTTTAACATAAAGATAGTAATAATGGTATTGGCATCGGTATGAGCTGAAGGCGGGTTGTAGAGAGATTATGAGCAGAGAGGTTACCATTTACCAACGAGTTATCAATTTATCATTCTTTAAAGAGTAAATTGGTACAAATTATCATTGGAAATTTAGGTATGGGCTGGGAGGCTGGCTCAAAATAGACTAACCTCCAAAAAAAACTTAATCAAGAAAGAAGCAATTGGCGAAGACTTGAACCTTTACATAGGGAGATATGCTGTAGCAGAAAGTAGTGTGCACTTGTTTTTCAGATTCTCAAAATTCTCAAAGGTGTGGGTTATCTAATGACTATGCATTTCAAAATGGAATCAATTACCTACCATATCAAAACTAAAAAATTATGTTATGGTAAATTATCGTTTCATCATTTGAAACGACAATGTAGTAAAAAGCAGCATGCGATTTAAAAACTTAAAATACCTTATTAGATTAAGTTGTTCCTTTTTGTGTTTGGTTGGTCAAGTAACAAAAGTAACAAAAATGTTATTTTACAGTACATCATTATGGATCCAATTAGTATTTCTAGTGGGTACTCTTAATTCTCTCATTTCATAAAACTATTCATTCTAGATCAAAAAACGAAATGACCCTCCCCCGTTCGGGTTGTGAGGCACATTAAAATGGAATATATATAAGACCCTACAAATAAAGAAAATGGGAAATGGGAAATGGTTGGGCATAGACTCTGCTACCAAATAACAGCATTCATTTCACTCAGGATACGCTGTATTTGTTTTAGTTTTGGATTGTAGAATTTGTTGGACAAGGCTTTCCTTTTTTTTTCATAGGCAGACAAGGCTTTCCTTGAGTCCCTGTCAAATGTTAATTATGAAGTTCTTTTTTCTGTTTTTTTTTATAAAAAAAAAAGGAGTTCTTCAGAAATTTTGTTAGCAACCAAATTCCAAGACCCTACAACTTCAATGACTATATTGATGATTCACTTTTATTCTATTATAAGACTTTGTAGGCTGTATGATGAATTATTTTATGCAGTGTGTGATGGGACCTTTTTCCCTTCCCTTCTCAATGAGATGTCAGAAATAGTGGGATGCTTTAATGAGCGTGCACAGAAATTGCTGGAACTGCATCTTGTTTCTGGATTCAGAAAGTACATTATCTTATTGAAAGGAAAATCAAAAAGGTATCATTCTACTTTAGTTCATGAAGGCAAAGATCTAGTTGTATATGCACTTATAAATGCTGTTGCAATTCGCAAAATACTAAAGAAATATGATAAGGTGCGTCAATTCCTCCTTATTTCCGTGGCATTATTATTTAAGTAGTGACAATACTTGTTTAAATTATATGTTATGTTCTTTATATATGACACTACTATGATGGCAGATTCATTATTCCAAACAAGGGCAATTATTCAAGTCACAAGCCCAGACTATGCATAAGGAAATTCTTCAGAGTCCCTGGCTTATTGAGCTTATGGCATTACATATCAACTTAAGGGAAACTAAAGTCAAGTCAAGGAAGTCATCTGCATTATTTGATGAATGTTATCTCACAATTAAGGATGGAAAACCATCACTTGCTTGTGAACTCTTTGACTCCATCAAAATTGATATTGACTTAACTTGCTCTATATGTTTGGTAAGTTAGGTGGATTCTCTTGTTCGATTAATTTCTCTTTTCTGTGCATCACTCTTTTGGATGTTTTCATTTCTATTGCATATATGCACGGCCAAACCAATTCAAGGTCTTACATTGAAAATTCTAAACTTAACCTAGTTTTATGTCTCCACAGAAAAATTGTATTTACTCTCAAATTATTTAATTTTTATATGCATTCAAATATTTCATATATGTCACATGGTGTATAGAATCAATCCCAGATCTCCTTATATTGTCCAATATTTTCCTAACAAATCTCCCCCAAAGCATTTGACTTTTGGAATATAATGACATATCAATATACTTTCCTATATGAAAGCATCTCTCTCATAGGGGCTTTCGCTTTCTTTTTTTGAGTTTTCAATTGATAGTTTTCATCTGGCTCTTCCATGACAGGACACGGTGTTTGATCCAGTTTCTCTGTCTTGTGGCCACATATTCTGTTACAGTTGTGCTTGCTCATCTGCATCTGTTACTATTGTTGATGGACTAAAGGAAGTACATTCTAAAGAGAAATGTCCTCTATGTCGATCGGTAAGAGACAAAATATAGCAAACACTCGTAAGGGTGGATTTCCTTTTTTTTACATCCCTAACTTCTACTGATCTGTGTACATAATACATAATTTCATCCTTTACTGGCCATTTGAGCCAATGGGTGATCATTGAGTCATGACTGACATTGTCATATTTGAAATGTGTGTATACTTATGATGCAATGCAAAAACCCAACCAAAACTTTAGACTAAATAACTTCTAAAATTTAAACAATATATGCGGATGAGACCAAGAACCTGGATCATGTCCTAGCTTCATTAGCCTTTCAAATGATAACGACACTATAAAATTTGTTCGACCTTAGTTAAGGCCTATTAATTTTTACCATCAAAACTTTAGATCTTCTTGAGTAATCTTATGTAGCCCTTCTGTAATTCTTTAGCTTCTCTATTTTAATAATGCAAAAGATATTATGATTCTATGATTGATTAATTGCAGTTTTCCAGAAAGAACTGTTTACTTATTTTAGCCATCTTAATGCTGAATAAGTATGACTTTGCTAAGAAATTGCAAAAAGATATGGAGTATTACTATTTTTATTATCAGCAACTAATATACTTTGTATATTGTATATACAGGCAGGAGTTTACGAAGGTGCTGTTCACTTGGAGGAACTAAACATTCTGTTAGGCCGTAGGTATGATATCATTCGTTCCATTTGCAAATGAATGAAATTAAAATGGAAGAGATGATAGCAAAATCCATTTAATCTTTATTTTCAATCATTCTAACTGTGGTTTTATATTGTAATATCAACATATTATTTCCAAGTATCTTAACCTAAGAAATTCAATATGTTTACAGCTGCAAGGAGTACTGGGAGGAAAGACTTCAAATGGAAAGGGTAGAGAGGGTGAAGCAAGCAAAGGAGCATTGGGAAACACAGTGTAGAGCATTCATGGGGATCTAAATGGATAATTAGATAAGCAACTCTTCTTGGATTCAATGCTGTAGTTGTAGATTGAAACATTGTTACTCCGTTTTGTGAGATAACATTAGTATTTTTAGTTAAAGGTAGAGTATTCTAGCCTCTTGCCTGATTCTGATGATCAGAGTAAATATTTCTATTATTGCCTGATGATCAGAGTACTCTGATTGATGATCAGAGTAAATATTTCTATTATTGCCTGATGATCAGAGTACTCTGATTGATGATCAGAGTAAATATTATTATTATTGCATATGTACCTACTAAAAGCAATTGATTGCTGGTATATAAAATAAGTTTTACCCTATCCATAGAGATTGCAACATCCACCTTATCGGAGCCTAAATTTAGAAAATTTTCTAATTCTAGATTTCCAATTCTTTTATTTCACTTATCATTTTGCAAGTGTTGGGGAAGGGTAATTTTATAAAATAAATTAGGGTTAATAAGTTAGGGATCCACTAAATATGTCTAAATTCATTTTTAATACCTCTAAAATTTTTCTTCAAACAATAGCCCTCTTGATGTTTTTCCATCCACACTTTGGTCTCATATGATCTCATGAATGTTTGTTAACAAAAGTTGGTGTAGAGACATTTGTTAACAAAAGTTGCAATGTTTTCTTTTTTTCGAATTGTAGTTTAGGATTTCTTGTACTCTTAAAGTTTATATGTATTATTTGTATTCGACTGAAATTGAATACAGTAAAATAGACTGTTGAATGTATTTGACCCAAACTTAGTTTTGTATGACTATATTTAATTGTATATTAAATAGTTTTGTTGTGCCATTAATGTCAAATTTAAGTCTTACCATTTGCGTTATGTACATGGCATCAGTTTATTTAAAGTGGTTTTTTATATTATGGGTTGTTTTGTAAAATATTCTAACTTAAGGTGCAAAGGTGGGGAGATTTATGCATATAATGGACATATTATAACTTTTGGTCCTATTTTGAAATTTGTGGCCGAATTAAGGGGATGGAGTCAAAGTTTGATGTTCATGTTGTCAAGCTGTGGTGGAAACACGAGAGTAACACGAGAGTGGTAGTTTAGAAAAAGACCTAAAATCATTTAGGAATGATGGAGATGTATTACAAATATTTAATTTTGCCGAGTAAAATTAGTGTGATGTTGAAATATACAATGAGCCCAAACCCTTGACAGTTGACTCCAGATCTATCGATTAGGTCAGAAAGAAAAATAAGGGAAAAAGAATTATGAGGATGTTGATCACTCTAGTGAACTAAATGATGAATCTAGAAGAGGTACGCACTTTAATGATAGTGAAGAAGACAAAATGAATAATTTTGTGAAAGTTTCGATGAAAGGTTTGAAAAATGGTTATGTTTTGGTCCACATGTAGTTGATCATAGCAAGACATCTAATGTTGATGGTGTTGCCACCATTAAACCACCCCACCATAGCTTTATCACTTAAGAGATGAGAAAATATCATATCATAGAAGAAGAGTATATCACTGGTGAATTTGATAGAAGATAAAACTAAAGACCTCATCGAACCCTTTTATTATCCACATCAAGTCTTTATAGACTTATATTTTGTGGTTAAAAGGCTATGTACGTATAGATTTAGGGAAACACTTATCCCATTTCATGGGGTACGTCCCATACTTCTGAAAACTCAAAAGTATCCTCATTGTTGTCTGGAAACGCATATCCGTACGCATCTAAAATCACACCAACTCTTTTAATTCAGCCACACACTACATTTTGCTAAAATATTGTCAGAAAATTCATACTCATAATTTTTATAGGTTGAAGTCAGAGATGCATCTCTGTAAAATTCCTAAATTTATTTTAAGCTATTGGAAGCGTGTTTATTGCACATGACAGGGGATAGTCCAGATATGCATCTCCAGAAACCCCCTAAATATTCTTGTTAGCAACATTGTCCTAACTTTGACATTTTATTTAGGTCAATTTATATTTTAGGTCATTTTATGTCCATTTTTATCATAAAACCATTTAAGAGTGACATAAAGTGATTCAAGCATACTATATATACATTGAAAAAATCATACATTACTTAAGTTCAAAATGTATCGACCATACATAATTTTTTTTTCAGAAAATACAAAAAATAATACAAACAAATATAAACTATTGGGTATGTGTTAGCCTGAGATTTTCGACTTAACTTTTTCTACATGAATGTGAGAAACAAGGTAGATATACATACTAAGTGTATGTAGCTAAGTCACATTATCAACACCAAAGTGCAAATTCGACAAATGAAAACTTGAAAACATTTTCGACAAGTGGACCTTTTTGACAGATATGATTAGGTAATTTGAAGACGATCTTGAATGCAGTGATGTTTTAAAGCAGTTCAAAGAACTAAAAACACGGCGAAACACGTCAGAATACAAAAGCCCATGTCGCAAGATACGTGTCAAAGTCGGGAGAGTTAACCACTGTTGATTGTTATTGATATATCTAGCATGTAGGTAGATTTCAATATTGTAATAGAGGTTCACATTTTATTTTATTCTCTTTAGAATTCACGCATCTGGATTGTTATTGATATATCTAGTATGTAAGTAGATTTCAATATTGTAATAGAGGTTCACATTTTATTTTATTCTCTTTAGAGTTCACGCATCTGAGTCACAGTGATTAAGGACTTGCAATAATTGTATGAACTTGCATCTCACTTTTAATTTAAGCATTTTTATCCGACTCCTTTACTATTTTTCTGCATTTACTTTATCCTTTTAAGCATTTCTGCATTTACTTCTTTGAAAATGTATCCAATTGTTCTAAATTCAAACATAAAACCTTACAACACTACTCAAACGTTTCACACAAAATGTCCTTAAGATTTTTTCGAGTTAATCTTTTGAGTGAATTAAAAATCTTGACTTATTTACTAAAAGCCCTAGTAAACAAATTAGCACGCTCAATGAAACTCTTTTGTGCGAAATTTAATTATTTTGCAAAGAGTATATGTGCTTTTATGTTTGCTTTCGTTCTTCACATCTCAATGTTGTCAATTGTTGAATGTTTGTGCGTATGAGGAGTGGTAAATTCGTTAATATGTCTATTTAATTATTTTGCAAAGAGTATATGTGCTTTTATGTTTGCTTTCGTTTTTCACATCTCAATGTTGTCAATTGTTGAATGTTTGTGCATATGAGGAGTGGTATATTCGTTAATATGTCTAGGCCATTAGGAAATTCATCTCTTCAAGGAATTTCTCCCTAGAAAAATGCCCTAAATGTGGAAGAAAAATCAATCAGAATGACAGTTGGTGGTACAAGCACTTCAACAATCATTGGAGTAACTGCTCATATCGTAATTGAAATGTCAGTTTCGACTATGACACTAGAAATGGTGATACCACCAATACCATAAACTAATTTTATTGTTAATCTCGTGGTTACACCAACCATTGTAAGAGGTACTAGGCGTTTATGTAGATGCATCTTCAAACTGGCGTTTATGTAGATGCATCTTCAAACTAAATTTTGACAAAATAATGGTGGCTCCCCCATTTGTGCCGATGAGTGTCAAAAAGGTGAATTCAAAAATGTATCTCGGAATTCTAGAGCCAGATGTGACTTTTCACCGTGGTAGGAAAGCACCCCATGGAGTTTTCAAAGCAATTCCCTAAATTTAAAGGACTGGTTTATTACCCCCAAAAAAAACTTTAAAATTAACTTATAACAAGCATCTAAGTTAAAGAACCACAATATGTTTTCAGCCAAACATGTATGTATAAGCATCTAAGTTAAAGGACAGCCAATTATGTTCAGCCAAACATACAAATTATCCTAACAGTTCCATACTCGGTCCATTCAAAATTACTGTCATCTTATTTAACTGTTTTTGGCAAAATCTGGTTAGTTAGACCAGAATTGCTTCATCTTTCCCCAACTAAAGTGATACATAAACCAAAAACAAACTACCTACAGAGTTGCAAACACATGTCATCCAAAATTACTTGCATCTATTAAACCATTTCTGACATCAGACAAGACCATGATGCTTCATCTTACCCCACAAAAATCCAGACAATTAAAAAGCATAAACAAAATTTTAAAACAATACTACATGAGCAACATCCAAAGGGTCAAAACAACACAAATCCATCCTCATTGTAACCACATTTTGCCCATTATGACCCATACAACTTATGAAAGCAATGGATCAACAGTTACAACTCACAACAACTCACAACCCGTACTTGGTAATCTTCGACAACACTGCTGCTCATAAGCGAAGTATTTCATCTTCCAACAATAAGCGGATTCTTGTTCTTGTATATGTAATAGCTCATGCACAATTTTTCTAAAGTCGCAACTGAATGCTGCATAGGATTTAGCTTTATATCCATCATCATTCTCTGCCATAACAAGAACAAAAACATTACACAGCCTCCTAAAAACTAGAAAAACAGACAAAATATGCCAAATTTGTAAAATGATTTTAATCTTGATTGCAACCTTGTCACTTAACAAGGTTAAAACCTTCAATGAAATGAACACTGAAAACAGAAAATAAAGAACTTTTAACCAAACCAAAAGATCCTAAAAAGCAATAACGAAAATCAAACCTGAAAATCAGCTCCATATTTTTCCACTAGCCTACTAATATAAAGACGCTGAATTGAAGTCAAAGGTTGAGGAAGCGCACTTTTACCATCTCTTCTTCTCTTTCCCAGTGCCGATTTCAAATCTACACCACAAAATTTACACTCATTTCGACAAAATATAAACAATTTCTGACACAAAAACACACTAATTATTGAAGCAAGAGAAGATAATGATTTGAGGAGAATATACCGTCTTCTTCGAGATCACTGCCGGAATCGTTGGGGTCATCCGAAACAGAAGGAGCTTGAAGAGAATCAGTCAGGGAGTTAGGGTCATTGACTACACCGAAGGAGTTGTAGTTTTGTGTGACGCTTCCTTTTTCATCCCATTTAGGGTCTTCTGCAAGGGATTGTAACAATTTGGGAGGGATGGTAAAAGCGGGTTTCAAAACTTTAGGGTTCTTCTTTGGAAGACCCACGCGAACCTTAGGTCGAGAATTCTTGTATTTTCTTCGTGAACCTCCCATTCTCGTTTGTGATCTCTCTGAATCTAAAAATTAGGGTTTTTTCGAGTATGTGTTTGGGGGTTTAAGGTAACATAAAATTGAATGAAATGTGCGTCTCTCACACAGTAATCAAAGTCAAAACGCTGTCGTTTTGTTTAGAATTTTAGGGCATGGAATAAAGTGGGCTTATCTGGCCCATTTATGTTGAATTGTAATTTGAAAATGTTTTTTTCTTTCCTTCTAGTTAAATGAGATTTTAACTTGCCAACGTCTATATTATATTATGCCTGGCATTCAATACTTTCATATTTTTAAAATTGTGCTTGACTGAAACTTAGTCTAAATTTTTGTTCAAATTTTTTGGTAGGTTAACTGAAATTTTCAATACATATCAAAATTTCGGTAGGATATTCTAAATTTTTGATATATCAAAATTTTAAAAAAATTTCGATATATTTTAATAAATTTCGAAAATTTGAAATTTACGCGTTGATATTGGAAATTTCAATCTAAGTGAAATTTTCAGTAGTGTTATTTGTTTATTTTTTAGATGTTTAGGATTTTGCCGATATTTTTGGATGGTTTTGATTGCATTGATAGTTTTAAGCGGTACAAAGTAAATGCAAAGTTGTATAAATAGGAGGTCGCATGTTGTTTGATAAAAACATCTTAAAAAATGCATCTTTCTCAATTTTTGATTAAGGGAGAAGTGTACTTCAACGGAGCTTCACTCATGTAGGGTTCCGACTTTTGGATAGCACCACATCTCTTGTCGGCCTGACATCTAAGTTGAATGAATTGTTGCCTAATATCGAAAACAAAAAGGTGAGAAAGATTGAGTTTCGTGAAGACTTGATTGATACTGACAGGAGGGTGAAATACAACCTTATTGAGTTGAATACCAACGAAGATGTGAAAGATATGTGGAGATCATTTTTCCATAGGATAACAAGGGGCTGATTGAGTTAGATGCTAAGATTTCAAGATATTTTGACGACATAATGAAGATGCTAAAACGTCCATAATCATATGATAGTGTTTAAATTTATCTTATTTATGAATCATCCGGTAGTGTTTAGGTTTTTCTTAAGTTATGTAATCCATTGTCAAATGTTAGTTAATGTTGATGTTGCACCAATGAAAGATCAAAAATATTAGCAAATAAAGAGTTATGATAAAGGTGTCAAGATAATATACAAATAATACATAATAGACCAAATTCATGATATACAAAAGATGTCTAAATAGGCCCCCCACGGGATATGTGTGCAGCTCGAGATAATCCAGTATAAACCTAACCATCTGGGCTTACCAAACACATGAGGTTATCCATAATAATTGCAATCATCTGGAGGCGCTATTGGTCATCGGCATCAATTGGAGGAGGTGGCGACAGACGTCATCAACAGGTACCCTAGTATCAGAAGGCCCAACATGAGCTATAGGTGGGATGATGCGAGGGTGTGATACAATGAGATACCACTTTAAGTAAACATTCTCGCACTGCGTGAGGTGCTGAGCAATAACTGATCGATTTCTAATGGCACGACCAGAGCTAATAAAGTTACTCTTAAACCATGAATCAATACTTGCAGATGGTATATTTGGAACTAGTCTTGGGATACTCTGAACATAACCATATTGTCACAGACACCTCTCAGGAAAGTATCTAGCAACCATGGTCTTCCACCATATATAACCTAAATATAATGACGAATCTTCGAACTCACGGTGGACTCTGTAACCAGTGTATGATATCTAGATGACATCATCTATAGTCAGTGCATCGAGCCTCCTCCTGTACTCAACAACACCACTGGGATGTACCTGTGTGGCCTTCCATCTCTTCGTCTGTGGGGACCTCACTAGCCAATGTTGCACCCTCATGTCACAGATGGTGGGGAAATACTCGTATATCTAGCATTGATATCAAAATATAGACACAACAAATAATAAATAAGAAATGATATTCGTAACAATTAAATAAGAAATCAACAATAAATACTAGTTTCAAGTATACCTGTAACAGACTCACATAACCAGCAGCTATTTGGTCTCAAATATTGTCGCCACTTTAAGTATGCTATACAGAAGGGTCAATCCAGGACACCCTTAATCCTAACTGGTATCCTCGAGGCTACTGAAGAGGCACACATACCGATAATCGATGTAAATAGCAGACTTGTTTGCAAATAGAGTACATGCTACTAGATGTAGCATGTACACCCTACCAACAACTTCATAACTCTCATTCGCTACAAGTTGGTCGTATTTCTTCCGAAGTCAAGACATACGAAGGTGAGTGCCCCTGTTGACACCACACTCCTCTTACACAACCACCTCAGAAACTCCCAAATCTCGTGTAACAATCATACATGCAAGGGATATGCTAAGAACATGAATCGTCCACAATCTGTCACTGATGGGGATATGGAACAATCAGGAGACATCATCTAGAGTGATAGTCATCTCCCTAAGCGAAACATGAAATAAAGATGTCTTCTTGTGCCACCTCTCAGCAAACACACTAAGTAGTAGAGCGTCGAGCATGGTGAGGGACCAGTTGGAAAAATCAAGCATCTCGAACTCCCGTATAATCTGACTAACCTGCTCAAGCATCAGAATCTTCGGGAAGTCCTTCATCTTCGACCCGTGCGATGTCACTTTCAATGTGGGACACTCCTTGAAAAACAAATTTAAAAAATTAGGAGTTAGATTTCATGGCACTATAATAAACATATTAAAGTTAAACATAAAAGACATATACCTCTCCCTTCCATAGTCATAACACCACATGGTCAACATACTCGGTAAGCATTGACCAGTTAATGGGTCCTCTAGGGAATCCTCCATCAGTGTGCACAAAGGGCTCATTCGAAAGAGTTGTAACCTCCGTGTCAGCAATAACATATGGGACCGGAATACCAACAACAACATTTGGCTAAGAATCTATTAAAAGGTCTTTAACTTCTTAATATTTCAATTGAAGCCATACATAATATTTTAGATAACCATTAATCAAGGACAACACATATATGAAAGAAATATGTTTTTGCTTGTTGGTAGTACTAGAAAGACTGAACGATAATAAGTCAAAAAGTGTGAATGGTAGAGACTAGTGAGCATATGAAACACGTTATTGAGAAGGTGACATTAGCATGTTTTAAATAATTGAGCTTGCTTTAATATCAAAGTTATGTTCATAGTATGTTGCTACATTGCTATTTTGGTAATAATAAACAAGTTGAGATGGCCGAGTTGGTCTAAGGCGCCAGATTAAGGTTTTGGTCCGAAAGGGCGTGGGTTCGATACACCTTCATACATATCTTAGATAGCTCGAATATATGCATCCATAAAATGTTTCTTCTCCATTCATATCGTATTTTCTTTGACCACATAATTTTATTAAAGAGTTTGGTGAGTCTTTCAACGCCTCTATCTTCAAGAATTTTTCACACTTCAATAGGTAATGTTGGATGGTCCAACCACCTTATTGTCACTCCTTTTCGATGTTTCGTTTACCTGTTGTTTCTAAATCTGACGGTACTAGTTTAGTTTCAATCCTCTTTTCTAATTTTGAGTCTACTATTGTACAATGATGTATTAAATATTTCATTAAATAAACTATTGAAATACGTCTTCGAGATATCCTTTCTATGATTTTCCTTAACCAAAATTTTGTCCTTTTCATCTTTAACACACTTCAGTTGATCAAATATTCTAGACTTTCTTTCTTTTTTCTTATCAAGCATATATATAATTTTTCTCCTTCCTGTATATTCTTCTTGATCTCTCATTTTCTTTATAATATTAGCCATTGTGAGACTTAGATAAAAAAATTTAAGACTTTAAATATGTTGGTCGCCAATCTTTTAAATCCAATATTTTACTCATTCATATCTAATGTGAGATTTAATAACTCACATTTAAACTCAACAAACATTTTATCCATTCTTAACCAACTTTAGACTTAGGTTAGGGATTGTTTCTTTTAGCTTTAAAAATATAGATTTTTTCTTTGAATTTTCAAAAATGATTTTTTATGTAATGTTTTTCAAAATATTAAAAGTTTTCAAATTTTGTTTTTTTTATCTAAATTGAAAGATTTATTTTGACATCTTATAATACAATCATAGATTATTGAAGATCAAAATACAGTCAAAATTGCAAAATTTTCAAAAAGTTGTATTTCAAAAACGATTTTTATTATAATCTCAAAATTAAGTGATTTTTTTTTTAAATTTTGATTTACAAAAAAAGTTTCAATAAGATGATGGGATACCTAAAATAACATTTTTAGAACAACTATTCAAACCAAAATTTTTTGAAGCTTTTATTAAAAAATTATTTATAATTTTTTTTTTTTACAAAAATATGTAACACTATAAAAATAATTATAAAAAAAAAACTAAAACAAACGAGCCCTTAATCACTTACCATTTAACAAAACAAAAATGAAAAGTCTTCATTGATAATTGAAATATACACCAATTTATTGTCCTTCATGTCAAATATACACTAATTTATTGTCCTTTATGTCAAATTTGTTTTTAATTTTATTGATATATTTTTTTCACAACCGAATGATAATGATTTTCAAATATCAAAGTTATCGTTATTTATGCCAAATTAAAAATTTATAGTTAGTTATGTCAAATTTGAATTGTGTGTTAGCACGTAAATAATATTTGAATGTTTGGAGTTTCTCAAAGATATCTCATGATTCCAATATGAAAAAACATGTAAGGTTCAGTCATTGCCACATGGTCAACATACATTTGACAAAAATGGAAGGTTGCATGTGATGACAAATAGCAAGGTGTATGATGTACACATGATGTAGTGCATAAGTAGCACATGTTATGATGCATGCTTTGCAAGGGACACTTGGTGCTTTGCATGGAATGAAAATGACAAATGTCTTCATGCATATAAGACTCCCTCGACCTGCTTCTCATATAAGTAGGACCATGAGCAAAGCATTCAAAATGCATCCACAAGTGAAGAACAACAAGAAGCAT